TCACCTAAAACAGCTGGGCTCCCTTCTTCCTTTTAAGTGACGCTGGTGAAGTTTGGGAGTGTTGGGCCTCCCACCTCATTCTCCCTATAAGCCTGTGGTTTTTAATTGTGCCATTGGGGATAGTGCTGTGATTTTTAGAAACGTGCAGTCAAGTTATAACAGAACTAGCTGTATTTTCCCTGGAAGTGTCACACTAAAAGCCTCAGCGGTGACGAGTTACAGCCAGGCAAAAGGCAAGACGAGGATACAGGATGTGTTCTTAAGGAGGGAGATAAACGGGGAAGAGAAGAGGAAGCAAAAGGGAAGGGAGAGAGAATGAAAAATCAGCTACTAATATTTATTTCTCATTTTTACACGTGGCCCATCTGAACCCAGGAATTCAAAAACTCCAGTGTCCACTTCTCCCTTGGTCCTTCCCAGTATCACCAAGGAGCTTATCTTGACATCTGTGGACTCTATAAACATGTTTCATGGGTCCATGAGTGTCAGGAAATTATTTGCAAAATTTTGTGCTTATATTTGTGGGAAGAAGAAAACCTTAAATTTCGTCAGCACCTCAAAGGAAATGTCGCACAAATGCTGTTTTTACTTTCTAGGCTCTAGAGCCTTCTATGAAGGGCAGTGGGAGCCCGTGCTGCTCAGCTCGGTGCTCACACTGTAGGTCTGAGTACAGCAGCTCCGGAATTTCTACCCAGAGGGAGGTGAGAGGCAGCAGCCTGGCTGGAAGCCACACCTGTGTAGCAAACAAGCTGCTTTTACTTAGCTTCTGCGTGTCTCTGGTACCCCGGAGTAAGTGATGAATTTTACTAGATGTGTTCTTTCCAGGAATGTACCCAAAGTCATTACTGTGAAAACACAAAGCTTTAGTCACTTACTCAAGGGGGAATTCATGGACATAGTTCAGGTATTTTCTCTAAAGGACTGTGTTAGGACAGTCCTGCTCAGGGCAGAAATGAGGCCAGGGAACTGAAGGCACATGTCCAGCCAGGAAGGGCAGGCTGGAGGTGAGAGGGATAAAGAGAAGGAGTGGAAACCTGAAAATGAATGGTCTTGTAGGGGAAATGCTGCATCGGGTCTAAAACCACACTGGGCACTATTTGTCACCAGCTCCCCTGCCCTATCTTC